AGATATGGAGTCCGAATGGGCTCTGTTCTCGGCCTCTATTGTCGATGCAGCTGCCCGTAGCTGTGGCCGTAAGGTTTGCAGTGCCTGTCGTGGTGGCAATCCCCGAACCCGGTGGTGGACACCGATAGTAAGGGATGCTGTCAAGCTGAAGAAGGAGTCCTATCGAGCTTGGCTGGCTTGTGGGACTCCTGAAGCAGCAAGCAGGTACCGTGAGGCCAAGCGTGTCACGGCCCGGGCGGTTGCAGAGGCAAAATCTCTGGCCTGGGAGGAGGTTGGAGAGGCCATGGAAAAAGACTATCGGTTGGCCTCAAAGCGATTCTGTCAAACCGTCCGGCGCCTCCAGAGGGGAAAGCAGTGCTTCGCTAACACTGTTTTCAGTGGGAGTGGGGAGCTGCTGACCTTGAAGGAGGATATTGTCGGGCGGTGGAAGGAATACTTTGAGGATCTCCTCAACCCGACGGACACGCCTTCCGTGGGGGAAGAAGAGACGGGATGCTTGGGGCTGGAATCGTTCATCACCCAGGCCGAAGTCACCGAGGTGGTCAAAAAACTCCACGGTGGCAGAGCTTCGGGGGTGGACGAGATCCGTCCTGAGTATCTTAGAGCTCTGGATGTTGTTGGGCTGTCATGGTTGACACGTCTATTCAGCATCGCGTGGAGGTCGGGGACAGTACCCCTGGATTGGCAGACTGGGGTGGTGGTTCCCCTCCACAAGAAGGGAGACCGGAGGATGTGTTCCAATTATCGGGGAATCACACTTCTCAGCCTCCCCGGAAAGGCCTATGCCAGGGTGCTGGAGAGGAGAGTCCGGCTGATTGTCGAACCTCGGCTGCAGGAGGAGCAGTGTGGTTTTCGTCCTGGCCGTGGAACAGTGGACCAGCTCTACACCCTCTGCAGGGTGCTTGAGGGTTCATGGGAGTTTGCCCAACCAGTCCATAAGTGTTTTGTGGACTTGTAGAAGGCATTCGACCGTGTCCCTCGTACTGCCCTGTGGGGGCTGCTCCAGGAGTATGGAGTCGGGGGCCCTTTATTAGGGGCCATCCGTTCTCTGTACAAGTGGAGCAGGAGTCTGGTTCGCATTGCCGGCACTAAGTCGGACCTGTTCCAAGTGCATGTTGGACTCCGACAGGGCTGCCCTCTGTCACCGGTCCTGTTCATAACTTTTATGGACAGGATTTCTAGGCGCAGCCAAGGACCGGAGGGGGTCTGGTTTTGGGAACAGCGGATCTCGTCCCTGCTTTTTGCGGATGACGTAGTTCTGCTGGCTCCCTCCTGCCAAGACCTACAGCATGCGCTGGGGCGGTTCGCAGCCGAGTGTGAAGCGGCCGGGATGAGAATCAGCTCCTCCAAGTCCGAGGCCATGGTTCTCGACCGGAAAAAGGTGACTTGTCCCCTTCAGGTTGGAGGAGAGTCCCTGCCTCAAGTGGAGGAGTTCAAGTATCTTGGGGTCCTGTTCACGAGTGAGGGAGGAATGGAGCGGGAGATCGATAGACGGATCGGTGCGGCTGCTGCAATAATGCGGACGCTGCACCGGTCTGTAGTGGTGAAGAGGGAGCTGAGCGAAAAGGCAAAGCTCTCAATTTACCGGTCGGTCTACGTTCCTACCCTCACCTATGGTCATGAAATTTGGATCATGACCGAAAGAACGAGATCCCGGATACAAGCGGCTGAAATGAGCTTTCTCCGCAGGGTGGCTGGGCTCTCCCTTAGAGATAGGGTGAGGAGCTCGGTCATTCGGGAGAGGCTCAGAGTAGAGCAGGTTCTCCTCCACATCGAGAGGAGTCAGTTGAGGTGGCTCGGACATCTTCTTCGGATGCCCCCTGGACGCCTCCCTCGGGAGGTGTTCCAGGCATGTCCCACCGGGAGGAGGCCCAGGGGACGACCCAGGACACGCTGGAGAGACTATGTCTCTCGGCTGGCCTGGGAGCGCCTAGGGCTTCCCCCAACAGAGCTGGAGGAGGTGTCTGCGGAGAGGGAAGTCTGGGAGTCTCTGCTTAGTCTGCTGCCCCCGCGACCCGGTTCCGGATAAAGCAGGAGACGACGACGAGTATTTTAAAGCTGGATCATTATTGCCAGCATGGTTGTTCCTGTTTGTACTGTTTTTAAATTAGTGACATTTTGTAAACGTGTTTCTTTTTTTTTAAGGGATAGACATTTAAAATAAGCTGGGTATGTACATGTTGTAGTGTTTAGATGTTTGTTGTACACCCTTGCCCCTATGAACTAAGGAATAAATAAACCTGTTAAGATATATTTAAAAATCTAAGCTTTATCAGAAATAAATACTAAGTAGTGAGTCAATATTAGTTTGACTTTTTCATGTCAAGAAGGAACTTCGGATTTTAGAAGTGTAAGATATGGAATACATTGTCCTGTGCAAACATCCTGTTAACAGAAGAGATCAGATGTGTAGTTACTTAGTAGGGTTATATAAAAAACATATTTCAGTAACAATTAAAAGAAATTAAACAGAAAAAGTAAATTGCAGTGGCATAGTACAAAAAATTTAACTAGGTATTAAAGGTATTGATGAAAATGGTTAATTAAAGTGATGAAATAATTATAAAAAAAAAGAATAACTAAATAGGGGAACTAAAGGGGAAAAGAAATCAATAAACTAAAGGGGTAAAATCACCATGTGAATAGATGCAGGTAAGGAAATTTGGACATCAACCCTCACAAACCCTGCGAGAAAGTGGGGGCTGGGTGGTGAGGGTACGGGAGCGAGAAATGCAAAAGTAACTGTAAAGGAAGAAAATATTCTAACATAGTTAACTTTGGAAAAAGGTTGGCTTTTCATTTTCTTCCCTCTCCAGGTCCACCCGGCGAGCTGCGTTTGGTAATATGAAAATCAGCAAGGCGTGTTGACATCACAGAATTACAGAGTTTAATCCAATATAAGACAATGCATAAACTTAGAAATAAGACAATGCACAAACCTACACCAGAAACTGCAGAACAACAGAGACATACATTCCATTACCTGACATAGGAGGAAAGAAAGCAAAGACGTACAAGACATCTTTGGAGAGTTTGCAAGAGCAAAATCTGATCTTTTTCTTCTATTTAGAAAGCTTTATCCTCTTGTATCTAATCCATTCAAAAAGGGCTGGCCCTCGGTCCTCCAACCAAAAGCCATCTCTGACACTGCTAGGGCTTCCCCTTATTTACTGCAAACATCTGGGGTCATTTGCTTCTTTGTTTTAACAAGAAAAGGCGGAAAGCTTGTCCTGGCATCTAGAATTCCTAGGGTCATAAAACACAAGATAAGCTCCCACAGACAGCTTGTGGAATGCGGGGGGCCTCACCATCCCTGGTTGTTTATTCTGGAAGACTTTTGACCTTCTGTAAACCAAGCAGAAATCTCTCCTGCAGGCTTAACTGTTATTCACCCCCCAGGAGATACTCATTCTATGGCCTGGTGGTCTAAATACTTACCCATTAGTAGTTTTAAATCATTAACACAGCCTTGTTCAAAATTAAGAAATATGTTCAAGTGAGAGTGTTTACACATGCCATAAGATTAACTGTATTAAAGTCTAAAAAATAATCATTTTTCTTTAACAGTAACGCAATAGTTACTTTTACTAGTAACTAGTTACTTTTATTGTGGAGTAACTCAGTTAGTAACTCAGTTACTTTTTGGGAGAAGTAACTAGTAACTATAACTAATTACTTTTTCAAAGTAACGTGCCCAACACTGCTGGCAGACCACGAAAATGAAAAAGCAATGTCCACTGTGTTTTCTCTTTGATTATGGCATAAAATGTGCAGTCTTAAAGAAGAAAATGCAATTAGGATGATTGATTACTAATTTCATTTATGAGTCAAATAATGCAACCACATTCTTAAAATGAAAAAGCATTTCTGGAAATGCTTTTTCATTTTCAAATTTTACATTTCAAATTGAATTTTGGTATGTATTTGCTGGGTTACATTTTCAAAAATAAGTCTCAAATGTCTTTTTCATTTTAATTAAGTAAAAGCATGAGCACTGTTAAAGAAGAAAATGAAAATGCAAACAGCATTATTGATTACTAATTTAATTTATGAGTCAAACAATACATCCACATTCTTAAAATGAAAAAGCATTTCTGAAAATGCTTTTTCATTTGAAATATGGTAACGATTTGCTTCCATAGACCAAACCTGTAGCTCTCTCATTGGAAGAACTCCCCCTTCTACTTACTTATACACTCCTCACTCCTCTCTCCACCTTCAAGGACAGTGGGAAATTAGAAACTCCTAACATTATAACTTATTTGTTCACTACGACATTTTTAGCAAATAATTGGACTGATGGAATCGTATCTCCACTCTTGAAGCTAAAAGGTGCTTGATTTATCTCCACAAAAATATATTCAAGAAAGAATAAGTCTAGATATGAATGAAAAAGTAGCTCCATTTTCATCAATAAAGAGCTCGATAGATTAAGATATAAAAAGGCGTGCCACAAATGAAATCCTCGCAGATAAAAAGTTTGTAAAATATGATAGCTGTAGGCATAGATATCCATAATAAAGGCCTTTATTATGGATATCTATGGCGGTAGGATCGGTAAATTTTTAGAACGCCCTCCGTTACTGTAGGTGGCGATAGAGCGCAGTTGATGGGTGAAATTTTACCGTTCCCGTGAAACGTTAGCACTTCCGTTTCCGTGAGGTAAGGATACGCAACATCAACATTTCCCTACTGATTCAATCTTTATTTGTTAATATTGAAACCAGTAAGGGGTTTATTATGAATTTATATTACAGAACATACTGCCACATAGCCGGAGCAAATGGTCAGTTTAGATTAAAAACTCTTAAAAGAGTTTGTTTGCATTGATCGTTAGCAGCAAGCTAACAAGCAGAGAGCATTTCAGTTTCTTTAGGATCTAAATGTTGAACAGCGTCATAAACAGCTACGTTTAAGTTTTCACCGCTATGGGGTGTTTGGTTTGAGAATATAAAGTGAAACCATATTTAAACATGTTTTATTTTGCAAGGAGTTAGAAGATGTCGGGACAGAAGCGCCCTGCTGATCCCAGCGGCCTCTGTTCATCTGGTGCTCCCCCAGAGAAGCGGAGGGAGCGGGAGGGAGAAGATGGAGGTGCCGGTGTGAGCGCCGGAGCTGGAGGGAGCACCGCGGTGGAGACGGTCATCAAACTCGGAGGAGTGTCCAACTCTGTGAGCTTCTCCTTTATCATCATCTGCTAATAACATCCGCCAGAAATGAATGGATATTTTATTTGGTCTCACATTTGAATGAAATGTTTTTTCAGGAGGAACAAGACATCAAAGCTCTCCAAGCTAAGAACCGAAAGCTGGGAGAATCTCTTGATCAAAGACAGGTACCATCATTCTTCTCTGAATGATGACAGTTCTGGACCCAGATAAAGAAAGCTGCACTGTGCTTGACTTACTGGCTCATTTGTTTGCAGGTGATTGAGGATGAGCTGCGAGAGCGTATTGAGAGACTGGAGACCCGGCAGGCCACCGATGATGCCAGTTTGCTGATCCTCAACAGATATTGGAACCAGGTTAGCAATCAGACAAAGAGCGTTAAAGGAATAGTACACCCAAAACATGATTAGCCTTCATTTTCTACTCACCCCCATGCTGAACAAAACTCTGGAGTACTTTTTTGATATCTCAAATGCATCTGGAGATCTGGGAGGCTTCTTGCTGTCTGCTGACATTCAAATAATGGAGGTCTATGGCGCCCGAGACAGAAAGGTCCACAAAAGTCCACAAAAACTTGTCAATATTCCTCCATACTGCTCGTCCAATGTAATCCAAGTGTCCTGAGTGGGTAGCATCCAGAATTTACTCGAAACTAAGTCATTTAGAACGTTTTAGAGCCTAAACAGTAGTGTATAGGATTTCCTAATAGCGCCCCCATGCGCGCTCACGATTCTACGGAAGCCGGCAGACCAAACCAGCGCATTCAGCTCGGCAAAGAACTCATGCTCTTCCTCAACACTGAAGTCCTCAGACATTCTTCTTTCGTTGTTTCTTTCTTTGCACAGGTAAACAGCACATTTCTTCTTCTACGCTTGCATTATCGGCAGACCAGACGCTGAATGCGCACTTTCTTCCGGTTTGGTCTGCCGGCTTCCGTAGAATCGTGAGCGCGCATGGGGGCGCTATTAGGAAATCCTATACACTACTGTTTATGCTCTAAAAACATTCTAAATGACTTCGTTTCGAGTAAATTCTGGATGCTACCCACTCAGGACACTTGGAATACATTGGACGAGCAGTATGGAGGAATATTGACACGTTTTTGTGGACTTTTATGGACCTTTCTGTCTCGGGCGCCATGGACCTCCATTATTTGAATGTCAGCAGACAGCAAGAAGCCTCCCAGATCTCCAGATGCATTTGAGATATCAAAAAAGTACTCCAGAGTGTTGTTCAGCATGGGGGTGAGTAGAAAATGAAGGCTAATCATGTTTTGGGTGTACTATTCCTTTAAGGAGCGGTGGCTTTTAATCACATTTACCTTAAAGTGAAAACGTGACACATTTTATCTCCTTACAGTTTGATGAAAACATCAGACTCCTTATCAGGCGCTATGATCAATCAAGCAGCGAACCAGAGAAATCCCCAACAGGTGAGGGACGGAGCCTGAAGCCAGAAACTCCAGAACCTGATGGAGACTCAAACCAGGAGCGGGCCAAAGACAGGGGTAATGATGTCATGGCACAGTGAAATAATTGCATAAACAATGAGCTAACAATTAGTTTTCTCATTCAGGACATCAAGGCGAGACCTCTAACTCCTTTTTGGCCACGTTGGCAAGCAGCACCAGTGAGGAGATGGAGGCTGAGCTCCAGGAGAGGGTGGAATCTAGTCAGAAGCAGGCCAGTCGTGTGGTGGAGATCTACAAGAACCTGAAGAGCATGTTGGACCAACTGAAAGAAGAGCTTGACTCTGGTTCTGGTGAGTGGAAAAGCATAGGAGTTTAAAAAATAACAAAGGCATTAATGCAAATGCAGCTTATTATGTGTGTTATTACAGAGGGAGGGCTGAAACAGGTGGCAACAAAGCTGTACTCCCTCCTAAGCAGGGAGAATGAGGTGCTTCAACAGCTGACCGAGGACCTCAAACAAAAACACTGTCACATGACCAACGAGGTAACCCTCTAATCAAGATGCTTACATCACTCGTATTCGTCTGCTCAGTACCTATTTCTGGATTTTCTTAACTTGTCAGTTCTGGTTTGACCGATTTTTGTAAACACATCAGAACTAAATTTTCCTTCGGTCCTTTGACAGTGCATATTATTATTTTGTTTTTTTTTTAGAATGAAAATATTCTTCTTTTTGTGTTGTGTGTGCTCTTTATTTGGGTTTATTTAACTGCAATTAAAATCTTTTTAAATATTTGAGCTTATCAACAAGAAGAGAAATGTTGATTCTTGTAACAAATTTCAAGAGGAATATTTCTATTTAACTATTTTCTGGAAAAGTATGGTTGGCATGTTATTAGAAGATATTAGAACAGACCTCTGGCAGGTAGGACTGATCTACTGCGTAGGTCAGGGGTCTGCAACCTGTGGCTGCCCAGCCACATGTTGCTCTTTGCATGCTGAACAACAGGTCTTAAAATGAGCTAAAGATGAAACAAAGGAGTAACTTTATGCACTATAAGAAATACCAGTCTTAGAAGCTTTCATGTTTTTTTATTGAGAACATCTGAATTTAATATGCACAAAAGTAAACAACATTAAAAGAACCACAAATATGTTTTTAAAGCTATTTTTTTTAGTTAGCTTGGAAACAGTTTTCTCATCTTTTTACGTCAAATGATATCCTATAGAACATCCATGCTTTGTTTTTATGAATGGCTTAGTTTTTTCTTATTTTAAAAGATAAAAAAAATCAAATGAACTTTTGGTTGTTTAGGATGACAAAAATAAGAGGTTTTGTTTTATTAAAAAGTAATGTAATATTTTGCGGTTCCAAACAACTCTTACTTAGCTAGACGGAGGGTTAAATGGCTCTTTCGATATGAATTGAGGCAGACCCTCGGCCTAGATCATAAATTCTAGTTCTCCGAGCCTCTCTAATTCCTCAGCATGCATTCTGGCTCAAATGAGCCAAATGAATATGTTTTTTATTTAATTTGTCCTTTGCAGTCCCGGTCTTTGGGGCGGGCAGCCAACAAAGCGGACCAGCGGGTCAGCGAGCTGCAGGCTCGGATTGAGGAACTTCAGTGGGATATGGAGAAGATCCGCCGTCGAGAAAACAGGCTAAATGCCCACCTGAGCGAAATATTGGAAAGAGTGAGAATGCGTTTATCAGTTTATCAGTAAATGTATGAACCTAGGGTGTTTCGGTTTATTAATATTACCTGAACTGTTCAGGTTAACAGCAAAGGCTACAAAGTATGTGGAGAGGCCAGCAGCGTGTGTGGAACCATCACTATAAACAAGAGAAAGGTTGGATTTCTTTTCTGCTTTAATCCCTTTTGTGTGTTGTGTAGTTTTCCAGCTTTCTTCATGTTGTTTTTTTTCTTTTGTTGTTGTTTTTTATAGTTTGAGGAAATGAACAGCGAGTTGGAGGAGAACACAGAGCTAGCAGAAAATCGCCTCATCGAGCTGCAGAAGCTCCAGCAGGACTTGCAAAATGTTCAGCAGGAAAACAACAGCATGAAGGTATTTCTATTCTATGTTTTCTGCATGTCAACAACACAATATCTCAATTTGTTTCTTGCTAGGTGACATTTTTATTTATTTAGCAAACTTTAACACTGGAACCTTTTTTTCCAGATTTATTTTTTTATATTTCACACATTATCCACAAACGTATAGGAATCTTATCTGCATTAGATGATAACAGCCTAACAGCAAGAAAGAAAGAAAAGAAAAAAACCTGGGATATACAGCAGTATTATTATTACTTTTGAGTAATGTAGATGTCGGCCAAACTTTTACTAGACCATTCTAACACAGGAATATGCTCTGATCTAAATAGTGTTATTTTATGTTGAACATTTGACAGGTTTTCTTTTAGTATTGCCCTGCTTGTAGCACCTTCCATCTTCACATAAACACTGACTGGCCGGATGCTTCCGCCATGTTTCACTGTAGAATTAAAAACTGTTAAAACAGATGATCAAAGCTTCATATATTGTTTTAACACTAAGCTCTTCTTGTAGCCTCACATTTTTATCACCACCCCATCAGCTGACTTTCTTGGTCTTCTTTAGATGTTTGTTTACTAATGTTTCCCGATAGATCTCACTGAAAAGCTTGTTTTCTATGGAATCTTTAATACACAAAGGATGGCTATCTTTGAGCATGATGTGCTTTTTGAGGAAGTTAGTTTAACTGGATTTTATTTATGAGAATTTTAGTATAATACGGAAAATGCATACCTCTCTTTTTAGATTTTGGATAAAAGTGTTAACTCCATGAATCCCTTCCTTGCAACTTTAGTGTTTTCTTGTTTTGGTCTAACACATTAAATTCGTAGATTTATAGTGCAGCCTGTTAAAAAGTAGTAAAATACTAAGGGTTTACATTTTTTCCAGGCACTGCTCCTTATTTTAAAGTCATCGTCTTTCTTTTTTATTCATTTGTTTTAAGACAGAGCTGCTGAATCGAGCTGAGGGTCTGGTCAAAGAGTCCGCAGAGTATCGCTGTCTACAGTCCCAGTTCTCTGTCCTCTACAACGAGTCTCTGACCCTCAAGGCCCAGTTGGATGAAACACGGGCTCGCCTCAACACTACCAGGACGGCGCGCCTCAGACAGCTGGAGCACATGGAGGTGCGTTGGGTTTGTTGGGTTTGTTGTACGGGAACGTCTGGGTTCAACCTGCGTCTAAACTTTTGTACTTGTTGTTTCTGTGTGCAGAACGACGAGGTGGCTCTGCAGAGGAAGGTCCGTACTGAAGTGTTCCAGCTGGAGGACACCTTGGCTCAGGTGAAGAAGGAGTACGAGATGCTGCGCATTGAATTCGAACAGACTCTAGCAGCTAATGAGCAAGCAGGTAATGAACAGAAAAAAAATAATTCAAGCCTCTTAACTGTCAACACTTCAATAATATGTTACGCTGTTAGCTGATCAATTAGTTCACAGTCCTGATTCAATTTTGTAAAATAAATCTAAAAAAACATAAAATATCCCATCCTGTTGCTGGATGATTTTTTTTTTTTATTATTCCTTTATGATAAAAATGTGATGTTGGATTTGAGGGATCACAGTGTGTAAAAGATGCTGAGTTGAGTTTAGTGTGCAGTTAATATAGGAAATGATTAGATCTGGTATAATTCAACGATAATGCTGCATTTATAATATCTGGTTTAAAGAGCAGGAGAAAAGACAATAAACATTTCAGGTTTGTTGTGATTTTACATGATCTGGAGTTTTTTATATTTTAATTCAATGAGAAAAGCTGAGTAGGATTGAATAGTTTATCTATCTCCTTTTAAATTGCTTCTTTTTTTAGGTCCCATTAATAGAGAGATGCGTCACCTTATAAGCACGCTGCAAACACACAACCAACAGCTGAAAGGAGAAGTGGTGAAGTACAAGTTGAGGTTGAGGGAGACCCAAGCTGAGCTCCACCAGGTTGGTCAGGATGAGACGAAGTGTGTGTGACGAAGGTGAGAAGCAATGAGATGAACAGCCAAACTGAAAGGCGTCTGCTTGGTGTGTAGATTCGTGCGTCGAAGGGCAGCATCATTCTCCAGTCGCAATCGAGCACAGAGATGGACGTGAAGGATGAGATGGCCTCTCCTTCAACCCCGGTTGTTTCTGGAGAACCTGTGGTCAAAACAGACCCGGACAACGGCTCGTCCACACCCAGCAGCGCCGGTAAATAATCTGGAGTATATCTGTAATCAAAATAATTCAATTCTATCTAAGGGTAGTGCTATAAACAGGTGTATTTTTATTTTTATTGTCTGTTTGTATCAACTTTGTCTTCTGAAGGAGTTTCAGTTAAAACGGAGCCCAGCTTTGAACTGGACACAAACATAAAAGAAGAGGAAAAAGACGAGAAAAAGGAGAAGGAAGAAAAGAAAGAAAAAGACATTATAAAGAAAGAGGAAAAAGAGCGGGAGAGAGAAAAGGAGAGGGAAAAGGAGAGAGATAGGCCGACCAGGAGCAGCGGCGGGATTAAGGAGGAGAGGGAGAGGCCCGGGGTCAGCAGCCAGCAGGATGAACCGACCGGAGATCGGCTCACCATGATCGGAGGCTCAAAGAGGAAAGAGATGGAGCAGCTGAAAATCGTCCGAGCGGAACTAAAGTATGTTCGGAAAAAAAAGTTTACCTTGGATCATATTTGACCCATTAGTAGTCTGATTTTGTTACAATCTAATGAATCAACATGTAGGGATGCTTTTCTAAATGCTCCTAGTAAATCAGTATATTAAATATGGCTTTAGAAAGGTTCTTCCTTTTTTTTTTTTTTAAGAAGGGTATTGACAATATTTTTCTGTAACTTCCTAGAAAAGCCCAAGAGTCTCAGAGAGAGATGAAACTTCTGTTGGACATGTACCGATCAGCACCCAAGGAGCAGAGAGACAAAGTTCAGCTGATGGCTGCTGAGAAAAAGACCAAGTCAGAGGTGATCAACTCTTCCTGAGAGCTACTAGTGGTTTCAATTCCTGGAAAAATGTCCCCAGTTTGGTCTGAATATTCCAGTGAACGATGTATCTGGTGTTTGGTTCAGGCAGAGGAACTCCGACAGAGGCTGCGGGAGCTGGAGGAGAGAGAGCGAAGGGAGGGCAAGAAGATGGCTGACGAAGAAGCTCTGAGAAAGATCCGTTCAGTAGAAGAACAGATAGACATCCTCAACAAGAAGCTGTCCATTGCCAAACAGGTCTGAGCTCCAGCAGATTGCAGAGTTTGACAAACATTCTGCTTGGTTGCCTTTTTTTTTTTTTTACTTATTTACTTGCTACAGGAGGAAGACGCGCTGCTGAGCGAGATGGACGTGACGGGCCAAGCCTTCGAGGACATGCAGGAACAAAATATTCGCCTCATGCAGCAGCTCAGAGAAAAGGACGACGCGAACTTCAAGCTGATGAGCGAGCGGATCAAGTCCAACCAGATCCACAAGCTTCTAAAGGAGGAAAAGGAAGAACTTGCTGACCAACTCCTTACCTTAAAAACACAGGTGCGGCAACAACTCAGAAATATTCCACAGGGAATGTCTTTACCTATAATTTAAAAAGTTATTTATTTATATTAATCAAACCCTTTAGAATCAGATAGTCAAGTCCTCATTGGTGCTAAAAAATCTTTATTTTGATTGCTTATGACACATTTGATTCATTCATCTTTTTAATTTAGTTATATTAGTGTTTGTTAATGTGATGTTATGGACTTATTAGTTTGGTTCTGGTTGACAGGTGGACGCACAGCTGCAGGTAGTTAGGAAGCTAGAGGAGAAGGAGCGCCTCCTGCAGGGGACTATAAGCACTGCAGAGAGAGAGCTGGGACTTCGTACACAAGCTTTGGACATGAACAAACGAAAGGTAACACACATTACAGCTTCTACCCAGATGCAGATGCATTCTAGTTAAACTCCCTTTGAGGTTGAATGGCGTCTGTCGGTGCTGCAGGCTCAGGAGTCTGCGCTGCTGTCTGAGGAGCTGCGGGCTCAGCTGGAGCAGGTTCAGCAGAAGCTGAAACTGGTCCGAGAGGAGGTGGTTGAGAACAGCATCTCCAGGGAGAAAGAGTCCTTCAATGCTCGCAGAGCACAGGTAACACACACATACACAAGCCAATAAAATAGAATGCAGAACAATATAAATTAAATAGTTTTTTGTAACACACAGTCTCATAGAGGCTAAACTATGGTCAACATCTCCAATTAAATAGATGAAAAAACTTCCAATATACTGATTATTGAAACTAAGACAAACTAAAAGGAATCAAACTATTAATTTTCTCTATATTTACTGTTTAAGACAAAAAATTAACTAGATTTTTTTAAGTTAAAGGCCAAAATTTAATTATTGATGGTCGGTATTTCAATACCCCCTTATATTAGATATTACACTATAGGTCTGAACTGTCGCAGTTTGAAAGTTTGTCTTTGTATTTACCAACATTTGATTTTAAAATATGTGAATATGCTGAAAACACAAGAATATTTGGGGAGAAATATAATATACTCAAGCATCTTAAGTTTATTCTATTTGTAAGGCATCTAAAATGTTTGCATTTAAAATTGACACCATTAGTATTTATTAAAGTAATGATAAAGAGAATTTGTTTTTTTAATAATTCCTATATCTGCCTCTGGTTCAGCTTTAAAATTACATATAATGCTCTAAATGGTCAAATAAGCTGCTTTGCTGCATCGGTATGTGATGAAATCACAGTTGGAAATCTGAGATTTTACCAACATTCTGAGGGGAACCAACACTGAATACTTAATTTAGAGTAGAAATATCCTTCATTTTAAACACAGTGGTAAAATTCAGGCGCTTACATCAGCAACTCGGAAGTTTATAACAGAAGAAAAAACGCTTTAAAACTGCATACTTAGATAAATAAAATATTCAGCTGATAACAAAATAAGTATTTATAACTGTGCATGAAAATCAGCAATAGGCTATTTTACAAAAGCAAAATGAAAAATGTTCAATTAGGGATGTAAAGTGTTCGATAATAGTGTCTAACAGCAAAAACAACATTTTATTTTTAGCACACATCTTCACTGGATGACTTCTCTGAATCTTGAAACCTTAATGAAGGCATTAGTTCAGATCATTTTAGAATAGAAATAAAGTGTTTTAGACACAAGATCCTTAAGTGTTGTGAAATGTTCTTAATGGATTCTGTGTTTTCAGCTCTTAATAAAACTAAATTGTTCTCCATTCTTAATGATCACTTCAAGGTCAGACAGCTTCACTTAATGTTGCAAAATTAATCGCCTAAACAGCAATTTCCTTAAGGCAGTGATTTTATGTTTCAGGAGGACATTTCCAAGCTTAGGAGAAAAATTGAGAAGGCAAAGAAACCAGCTGAGAAGATCAGCAATGGAGATGAGATCCTGAACGAGGAAATTAACGAGTACAAGGTATGTTCACCTGACATAAAAATAGAACACTTTCATTTTCAACAAGCTTTCACTAGAATAAACATTTAGCTTTGAAGTCAGCGTGTCTTGGTCATGATTCAAATTTTTTCAGGGACTGAACACCAGCATTATTTAGAAGACTTTTGCTCTGATCCCAACAGCAGTTACACCCCAATTTTTCTGTTTTTCCATAAATTAGTAGTTTGAGTAGTTTTATATAATAATGACTAATCTGAATGTTTTGTAAGTCTTGCTTATTTATGAGTAAGCTGTAAAAACATCTCACTAACAATGAAGCCTGCTCCACATATTTGCTTGCATTCATGTTAAACCACTCTAAACCTAAATCTGTCTATTGCTGAAAACATTTCCTCCTTTTCTTTTCCTCCAGGCTCGACTCACGTGCCCATGCTGCAACTCCCGGGTGAAGGACGCTGTCTTGACGAAATGCTTCCACGTCTTCTGCTTCGAGTGTGTCAAAACGCGCTACGACACTCGGCAGAGGAAGTGCCCCAAGTGCAACGCCGCATTTGGAGCGAATGACTTCCATCGCATTTACATCGGCTAAGTCTCTGCCTGAAGCGCTGGAATCACATGGTCCACCCTTTCATAGGAGGATTTCCGCTGTGCTCTAAATAGAAGACTTTATTAAAAGGTTGTTTTTTTTTTTACACAATGAAACATTCCCATCTAGTATCCACTACTACACTGATGTTCTCTGGTGCAGAAGGAATGATTTTATACTGAGTGATTGTTGCGTGTTTGTGTTTGCATATAAAAACAAGCTATGAAAACAATAGACAAAGCCCTGCAGTGAAAAAAAAAACATTTCTGTTAGTATTTCAGGTGTTTATATTAAGTGTTAATTGAAAATGTGATCGTTTTTGCTTTTTAATTACAAATTATCTTTTTTTGCTTCCAAATCCTGTCATATCTCATTAGTTGTGCTGTATTTGATGTTCAGTTAGTTATTAAACTGATATCAAATATGTCCCTGATTCCAGATTTGATCATTTCTATACAGTCTCCGCAGCGGACAGCGGATCAAAAGCTGTATGTTTGTGTTGATGTAGCTTCATACAAGCCAATTATTGGACTGATCCTATTTTAAACGTTCTGAATTAAATTGGGGAGGCATTGATAAGTGGTTTTCCATTGAAGGTATAATGAAGGATTTTCGCTAATATTAAAAAAGACCCACCCTCTCCACTTTAAAAAAAAGCACATACACAACACTACCGGCTCGCAAGAGGAACTTTTATTAAATGCATGCAACAGCGTTGACAATTAGGAGGATCACTTATTTTGATGATCCACTCGGAAAAGACACATCCTCCACTATACCTTTAAAGTGGATGTTAAACATGACATATTTTAACTAAAATGAAGTAAAACAGCTTAAAAAAATGAAATTTTACTATGGCTACAGCTCCTAAAATTTCCTTATTTGTCTTGTTAGTTTGACTGCATGAATTAGGCTACTCTTAACGTTACAGCACATCACAAAATATTGGAGCAAATACGAGTCAAATAAGGACAAATCTGACAACCATTAATATTGTATATTAACTTGATATTTGTTCTATGGCTGCAAAACTATTTCTGGTCAATAATGTTATAACCATTGAGAAACAGGGGCGGAGCAACATGGGGGGCCAGGGGTGGCCATGGCCACCATTAGCCAATCATTGGCCACCCCTACCATTTTTTTTCCCTCTCATACAGATGGTGGCAGCAGTAATACTCTCAAGTGGAATATTCAAAAAAAAAAATTTTTGTGGTTAATTATTCACATCAATAAACTAACATCAAAGATAAGTACAGAATTCATGCTCTTTTTAGAACAAAATTTTGTCTCATATGGGGTAAAGCGAAAATTACGTGTCTCTGCAAGTCATTGATTGAGCAGTCTTCAGTGAAATCAAAGATAAATAAAATTTTAATAAAAACTTATCAAATAATGTATGTAGATATTAGTGCTTGTAAATATCAATTTTATGCTGAATGTTTAGTGATTCAAGTAGGTAAGTAATTACAATGAGGATTGATTGACGCCCCAGAACTCAAAACTGAGTTTCATCCACTATCCCTTTTATCTAGAAATTACGGATGTTTAAGTATATGCGTCTATTTGTTAGCAAAGGCTGTAGGAAAGTATAGTTTGACTTTATTTAGAAAATATGGACGTTTTGCTTGTTAATTTTTCTGTTGGAACAGCGTAGATTGACCGTGAAGTTCTGGTGGCTATCCGCTTTCGGCCACCCCTGAGTGTACATTGGTTATTGCCTTGCCACCAATGGCGTAACTATCGGTAAGCAGAGACTGCAGTTGCTTAGGGGCCCCCGACCTCTTAGGGGCCCTGTCACTTGGCCCCCTATGCAATTTTGGACTAGGATGTCTCTCCTGCGGATGTAATGGTGTGTAAAATTTTTCTTAAACCCACCTGATACTAGATTGACTTACCAGGCTATATTTATACCCCAACACATTGCAGATTTCAACATGATGGTGGGCCGTTTAAACACGACACCAAAAGCAAAGCAGACAGTCGTACTTTTAATTACTATGTGAATATCTGTAGAGTTGATTAGACAGTTGGTAAAAAATACACTCCTATAATATGTTTCAAACCACAATAAAAATCTTAAAAGAACAATGTATTTGAGTATTTAATTTTTTACAATACGACATGGAATTATGGGTAATCCAGAGCGTAGATTAAAACCATAACCGTTATGTACAATGTGTTAGCAATGATGGATACCAAAAAGCGGTACTTAAGTGGATTCCAGAAAAGAAAAAGCAAAGAAGTGGGGGTCTTTTACTTTATTTGGGGCCCACCTAGATAGTGTTGTTTATGGGCCTATTGTTTCGCTACACCATTGCTGGCCACCCTTATGAGAAATTTCTGGCTACGCTTCTGTTGAGGAAGGATTTAAAGCCTGAAACTGAGCGATCATGATTGTGCTTTAAACCACAAGTCCCAGTGTGCAAATCTGTATTTATCCCTGCGCTGCAGGCTCTCTCCTCCCCCTCTTCCTTCTCCTCCCTAAAGATCCAGACCTGTTTTTCCAGTGGAAATAGTCGTTAGAAACGCTGGAAGGAAGGGAGTGGAGATCAGGGAAAGGATTTTTTTATTTATCCGTAAAGGGTTGGGCAACATAATCCATCGCAGTTTGGAGTTTACAGCAGGAAACAAAAGGAACCCTGAAGCCTCTCTGGAGCAGGAATAAGAAGCCTTAGGTTCATCGCGTCACTCCCGTTTTTTCTCGCAAATCTCCAACTAAAGGAAGCCTTTTCACGTATTTCCGCTCGGGTTTTTATGTATGAGCTGCTTCGTCCTGCCTCCACATCGTGTCTTTGAATCGTTGGAAGCCTTTTAACTCCAATTATTACCGCTGTTGATGCAGGATCGCTGTGGATTGATTTTATTTTTGCAGCGCCGCCAAAGATAATTGGCCGGATAACTGCGATCTGCCTGGTTTTGTGGTTTGAATGATCAGGACTGTTTTTTTCTGTCACTCTCATATTTCGTGACGCTTGAGATGCAGGTTTGAACCACAGATTGTTTTTAACTGAAGCTGTTTTAATCAAGCTTTTGATTTCCGTGCCCGCCTAAAGCTCCTCGACCCGCTGCAGCTTTACCTGTGCGCGCACATCTTGGCACGTGTCCTCTCGCTTTTTTCCCCCACCCTTCCCTTTTGTTCAGTGACAGAACCCTCATACCATGGCTCGGCTCTGGTTTTCTGTGTCTTTGCTGGCTATCGCTGTGTCGCTGTGCCGCGCCGGGGGCGCGCAGGCCCAGGCGGAGAGCCCGCCGGTGGTCACCCTGCGCACCGTCATCACGGGGACCTGCCAGGAGATCCAGCGCTACGCCGAGTCTCTGGTTGGAGCAGGAGTGATACGCTCTGCTTCTGAGGTACAGGAGATGCACCATGATTACACCAATTTTTCCTCTTTGCAAATGCTTTTCCTTTATTTAGTTTTTTTTTTTTTATTAATCTTAACTCTCATGTTCTATTCTTGATGAGAAACCTGATTATTAACTTCCAGCTGTCACTTTTTTCTCCTCAACCTTCCTTTCGCCATCCTCCCTCAACTTGTTAATCCTTCTCCTGATCCCTTCACCTTATTTATGACCCATTAAAATCCCCTTCATCCACTCGCAAACATTAACCCACCCCACATCATGACCCCACCTCCCCCGTGCTGTGCCCATCCTTCTCCTCAGAGTGCTCTACTGTATCTAGAATCAATGCTGGGTCAGGAGAACGTCCAAACCTTGGCTATGGTAAGAAAACAATCCGCCTTGGTATGGTTCTTACTTCGCAAGTGGCGCCACCAAGGGGTTGGTGGGCAATGGGCATCCCTGTGAATTTGTTGCCATTCATCTGGCAGCTATTTAGGCTTCATATATTTGCAAGGAGTTAAAGGGGAACACTGTTTTTTTTGTTTGTTTGTTTTTACATTGGGGCCTTGTATGTTTTTACATCATGTTCTACTCACCCATATGAGTTTTGTGTCATTCGGAGCTGTTCTGAAGATATTCCGTTAGGTTATATCCAAGTAACGTCTCACTATGGGCAACGACTTGAAGGCACAAACTAAACACTTTGTTTTAAAAAAATATAAATTTAAAAAATATAACCACAGATGTCTGGGGGACAGTGATTCGCATACATGTTATGAATGCTGATATGAAATGATAAATTATGAACAGTTTAGTTTGTGCCTTCAACTCGTTGCCCATAGGAAGACGTTACTTGGATATAAGCTAACGGAATATCTTCGGAACGGCTCCAAATGACACAAAACTCATATGGGTGAGTAGAACATGATGTAATAACGTAAAATCAAGTCCCAATGTAAAAAAAAAAAAAAACTGTGTTCCCTTTTAAGATAGAAAGGGGCCAAGACTAATAACTTATATGTATTTTTTTTAATCATCCACTTATATCACTCTTATCAGTATAATTATCTTAAACACAATATTTGGGGATGGAAAAAAACATGTTCTATAATATCTAAAATATTTTTGGTATAAAGGAATATGAAACCTAGTCTATGGTGCTCTATAATAGTGGCATTGTTTATCCATGGGAGCCTGAAATGTCTGCTGGTTGTGTCTGGTATAAATAATCTGCCAGGTCTGTGTGAAAAGTGGTATGAAGGGTTCAATGGAGAGAAGACAGAAAAATGTTCACCTGTGTGTTTATATAGAGATGAACCGCCCCGATACCTGGAGCAGACATCTGTGATTTAACATTGAAGATCCAATTCAGTGCACTTTACAGAAAACTGTTATTTCTTTCTTTTTTGTTGCTTATTTGTAAACAATTAACATAAAGTACATTTATATCTCTGTTAATTTTTTTAAACCTTTTTTAACAATATATATTCCGAGGCTAAAGCCTTTTCTCACATAGGGAGATCTATGGTTCATCCATTAAACAGCTGAATCGGTTCAGATCTCAGTTGATGCACACGGTCCAGGTATTGGTATCAGATTAGATCAGTAAAAAAGCTGCATCTGTGTTTATTGAGACTTTTTCTATTTGACCTAATTTCAAGTGCTGTCAAAGCACTCTACTTCTGCCAGGTTTATGGTTATTAATATTTGAAATTATGTAACTTCTCCTTAAGAAATGTCTCTGGGTTCTCTTTGGAGCTCCGGAGTTTGCCTACAGCTCACCTTATCCAACACCTGTAGCTGGAGTAGAAAATGACCTCTGTTGGGTCGCTTTAACTCATTTTCTGTCTTCACATACAAACCTGTAATCTTTCTCCATGCTGTTAGGTTTATAAATTTTTTTTTTTAATACTGCGGCTAAATAATAAATAGCTCACTGTGACTCAGTTGGCAGATTTCTGAATGTTAAAATTCCAGGTGTGCTCACAATCCCCAGCATTGGAAATTGCCTCCTTATGCAACACAAAAAAACTAAGCCAAACATTCCTCCAACTGAACATGGAAAATAAGGTTATTTTGGA